ATCCTTTAAGATTAATGTGTCTGCGATTTTAACATAAAACTTTTCCAATTCTAAAAGCAAATTAATAGAAACTTATGTTAAATTATATAAAATAAAATTCGCAAATTTCATTATCAATTATTACTAATAATTACCATATTAATATGTAACATTCGTAAACGTTTTCAAATATTTAATGCTATTTTATTCTACACACGAATAAAAATTTATTTAGTTGACATTAACAGTGAAACGATTAAAGAGAATAATACACAAAAATATGTCCGCATCACGTGAAGCTATTCTACAGATTATATTGTCACCAAAGCAAAAAATTACGGTTCGATATACTTATTGAAACCACATGCATATTAAATTCGTTTTGATTCAAGTACTACCATATAAGTGTAAAGCAGAAGAATCGCAGGTAAACAACAAGCTCGTTCACTGGTTACGGAGATTAACGCAAGCGACATAGACATAATTAATTGTAGTTCGCAAATAGACATATAATTCGGCAGTAGACGGCGAGGTACATATTTCCAGCGTGGAATGCTGCGTAAACGATTCAGGACGTATCCACTGGTTTTATCGTAGCCGAAATAGTCAAGATGCTCGCTCTCGCGGACGCTTCGTCAAAAACCGTATTTTTAGCTGTCAAAAAGGGAAGGAGACCCTGCGCTTGTCGCCCTCCTCACCCTACCCCGCAGATTATAGTCCATGACAGAATTTGGAATTTAGGTTAGAAAGGCGGCCTTTTACTTTTATAGAAAAAAGAAGAAACATACTGTCAAGTTTTGACTCAGGAACGGCTCCGTTTTTATTGACATAGAAAATCCAACCGAGGACCACTGGATTATCGAAACGTATATCTATATACCTATATATGCATACGTACTGTCATGTAATTACCTTTATTCGATCAGTGAAACAAAATTCCCGCTAGGAAGTAGCATATGCTAATTGATCGGGACGCGCTCCACCAGCTTGCGGAAAGCTCGCGAAGTCCAACGAAAACGTGAGAGGAGAAACCCTTGGACAACCGTCACTGTCCTCTTTCTTCCCTCCTCGACCAACCGCCAAACTAACTTAGCCGCGTGTGAGCAACAAGTATACTATGAACATTGCTGATCATACAACAGAATGACAAACCCTTCAATTATAACTCACTTCACTCGTGGGTTATGCAATCTCTGAAGTTACGCACCGACGTTGTCCACGGACCATTTTTGTAGATTCTAAACTGCGGCGTTTCTCGGCGACTAATTCAAATGCGCATGCGTGCACAAGTTAATGTATTTATGTATGTATGTATGTATATCGTGTATATCTGCCGTTCTTAGTTAAATTGTACTGATTAACATTTCTGATTACTCAAAAAATGAAGTTCTCTTTTTCATTAAAAATGAATTAATTTGCTCGCGATAGAGCATTTTCGGAGATAGATCTGAAATGGGTGCAGGGTGGTTGAGGGGAAAACGGAGTGTGCTGGCTACACTGCTATTGGAAATTGCCAATGGAATCCATTGGCATTATCCAATCCCATTTATGAAATTTCCCCTCCACCATTCTGCAGCATATTTCAGACCTGTCTCCGTTGTGGACAAGCCCTGTTCTAAATTAATAAAATCATTTTTAAATAAATGATTTTATTAATTTGCTAGCTTCTCTTAAAAGATAAAAGGCATGTGATGTTCAAAATATTTTAGAATATCCTGAAAAGTGGCAAATTAATAGATAAAACATTTTAATTAAGGATAGCGATAATATTCTGTTCGTGAAATTATGTATATTTATTGAATACCGTTTGCTACCATGCACAGTAAAAATATCGTACAAATTTTTCACCATTATAAGAATGTGTTTGGAATTGTCTCGTAGTATGTATATATGTGCATACATAGTATGTATGGCTTGGTACATACACTGGCATTGTCCAATTTGTGGTTCACGGATGTAGAAAGAAGATTTTAATCTTATTCAATTAAGCGCTATGGGTTGGCGCTTTTAATTACATACATAGTAGAATGCAAAGTCAGGTGTTAATTTGATTAATAGAATGTTATATTTTTAAGAAATTGTATCACCTTAAATCATTATTATAATTTAAGTAATAATCGTGCGTTCTGTAATGCACGTATCTTTGAATGCCACGTTCATTTCCACTCTAAATATAGAGTGACCGAAGGTGAAGTTATAAGCACCTGTACATCTACGGACACACACACATACATATGTACATCGTATGAGTTATCAGCGCCATTGCATGCCACGGTTTATTATTTACTTGATCGTGTTGCAATTAAGATGCAAATAACTGTTTACCGAGGAAAAGCACGATTGTCAAAGAATTTGAAACAAACGATTAGAAACGCCATTAAATAATTATTCGAAGAGATGTCTTAAAAATGACGTAAGTTCGAAAATGTTTAAGGACAAGTTCGATAGATTGTCACCTGTCCGTTGTCATTTGTGATAATCGGCATGGGACGTGCCAACTCACCTACTATCAGTTAGATACTATTTGTATTACGACGGTATGTGTTTATTAAAGGATTGCTTATAGCTTACAATGAAATAGATTTTTATAGTAAGTCTGTAAAAGAGAATCGCGATACGATGGCGAACGCAGCTGTCGGGACAAACTCGGAAAATATTTCCAAATTTTTGGAGTCACTGCAAACTGATTTGAAAGCCCTCGCTTCTGAAACGAAGAAGAAGTATCCGCACATCAAAGAAGTATGTACTTGTTCAGGTTTTATTGAATAGTTAAATGTTTATTTTAGCGTAATGTTTAGTGAGAAAGTGAGGTTAGTTTGTCGAACTATTAAAAAGCATTTTTGAAAATTACTGTGGGTGTAATACACCTTCTCATCGTAATATTTACATAAATCATTAAACTATCGTGATATTTATTTATATGTATTTTATTTTAGTCATGCGAAGAGGGAATCACGAAAATACGAACTACATCAAATGCCTTAGGTGCTCCTATTTATTACATTGTAAATCAAATCTTGTACCCTTTGGTTCAAGGCTGTGAAAGCAAAGACGTGAAGATTATTAAGGTATATTTCTAAGGATGAGACGTTCTTATTCTTAATTATAATATTTTCTATCATTATCATTAAATTGTTTCAAACTATATTTTTTTATATTGTTTTAGTTTTGTTTAACTATAATGCAAAGGTTAATTACACAACAAGCTGTTGATCAAAAAGGTGCACGTTACATTACGGACACATTATGGATGTTGATGGAGTCTGGAACAGAAGAAGTCAAAGTGTTACAGACTGTAACTTTGTTACTCACAAGTAATACCATTGTGCATGGTGAAACACTCGCAAGGGTAATAATATACAATGGGCTTCAAATTAAAGTTTATATCTTAAAGAATAAGTTTACTATGTGGTTTAATTTTCAGAATCTAGTTCTTTGCTTTCGTTTACATTTTACAAAAGATAGTACAACAATCAACACAGCAGGAGCCACTGTAAGACAACTAGTGTCATTGGTGTTTGAACGTGTTGTTGCAGAAGATGAACAAAGTCCTGATAATGAAGACTCAGATGACATTAATTTAGAAGAACTGAAAATCCCTACTAATCAGGCACCTAAAGGTTTAGGACCATGTGCTGCTGATGCATATTTAATGTTTCAAGTAGGTACACTGAGATTATTTATTAGATTACGCTATAAAATTAATTTTGTAATATTTTTTCATAGGATTTAGTTCAATTGGTAAATGCGGATCAACCTTACTGGTTAATCGGTATTACTGAAATGACACGTACATTTGGATTGGAATTATTAGAGTCTGTTTTAACAAACTTCTCTTCAGTTTTTTTCAAGGTATTTATATTTAGCAATTAATTTGAATATGAGTGATAAAACAACAATGCTTTTTACAGCATCCAGAATTTAGTTTCCTCTTGAAAGAAAGGGTTTGCGCCCTTGTAATTAAACTTTTTTCACCAAATATCAAATATCGTAATTCTGTCCCGGCATCCTTACAACAAGCCACACCTTTGGATAAACCCTATTTCCCTATTAGTATGAGACTTCTTAGGGTTGTATCCATATTAATACAGAAATATCATTCCCTTTTGGTAAGTAAAATATCTTAAATTACAATTACCAAATATTTGTTATATATCATTACGTGAAATATACATTGTGAAATTTGATATTTTCAGGTAACAGAATGCGAAATATTTTTATCCTTGATTGTGAAATTTTTGGATCCAGACAAGCCGACTTGGCAGAGAGCTTTAGCTCTGGAGGTTTTACATAAGATGACAGTGCAAGCTGATCTTCTTACAAACTTCTGTGAATGTTACGACTTGAAACCTCACGCAACTAATATCTTTCAAGATATTGTTAATAGTTTGGGTGCCTATGTACATAGTCTTTTCGTTAATCCACAAATGATGAATCAGAGTAATATGGGTAATTTTAAATATATTAATAATTATATATTTTTAAACAAAACGATATTGATAATTCCATAATACAGCGGCAGGTGCAGCAATACCACAAAATACTACGTCTCCGTTATTCACGGGAATGCCAATTGGCCCTGGTGTTTCACCACAGCCTGGTTTTTATTCCCGTGGTATTTGGTTGCCGGTAGTCGCAACCTTCACAAGTGGTCAAGCAAAATCTACCTAGTAAGTGTATCATTTATGATCTTCTATTTCTCAGTTTCTAAGAATAATACTTTTACCAAAAATAATTTTCAGTTTGGATATGCTCGATAAAGGTGAACCACCACAAATACCAATAGGCTATGGAATCAGTATAGCTTATGCATGTTTATTGGACATTATACGATCCATTGCCCTTGCTATTAATGGCTCCGGCGAAGCTATGACAGGAAATCAATCATACAAACCGATCGAGTCTGAACGAAAACTTCATACTCAGCTTATTAATTCAAGTTGGTGTGGTTTACTAGCCGCATTGAGCCCTCTGATCGATGCTAGGTACATGAATATTATTTCCCATGGCATAAAACTGCTCTAAAAAGTGTATGTAACTAATTTGTATTTTATTGTAATTATCAGCACCGACGAATCTGCGACAGAAAATGTACTGAAAGCTATCCAGATCTTCGCATCCTTATGTGGACAATTGGAACTACAAACTCCTCGTGACGCGTTCATCACAGCGATATGTAAAGCCTCATTGCCACCTCACTATGCGTTGACAGTACTGTACAATGCTCCACAAGGTATACCAAGTGCAAGACAACAAGAGTCTGCTCAGTATAATTTGACTATGGGAGAACCGGATTACCGACAACAGGTTGTAGCTGTCGGTACTCCACTACCCACTGCATCTTTGCCTGTTGGTATGTAAAAAATAACAAAAGCTTAAATAGCTCTGTCTAATATAGAGCAGTCCCTATCAAATTATATTATGATTAAACAGGTGCACACCAGGGCCCCGTGATGCTAACAGCAAAGAATCTGCAATGCATGCGTGCATTACTATCACTCGCGCATTGTCATGGCAGTATACTTGGTGGTGCATGGCATTTGGTACTTACAACATTGCAACATCTTGTCTGGATACTCGGTTTAAAACCCTCTACAGGGGGATCCTTGAAAGCCGGCAGGACTGCTGCAGATCCAAATGCAGTACTTACAAATGCAGTAATGGCGGATCTACCTGTTCTCAGCGCCATGCTTAGTAGATTATTTGAAAGTAGTCAGCATTTAGATGATGTAGCTCTTCACCACTTAATAGATGCTCTTTGCAAACTGAGCCATGAAGCGATGGAGCTAGCTTATTCCAATCGAGTAAGTAACAATATGTTTATAACGTGTACTTCTTTAAAGTTATACAGATATATTATGAATGTCTATATTAGGAACCGTCGTTGTTCGCTGTTGCTAAACTGTTGGAAACTGGTTTGGTGAATTTGCCTAGAGTGGAGGTTTTATGGAGACCATTGACAAATCACTTGCTGGAAGTTTGTCAACATCCGCACATTCGTATGAGGGAATGGGGAGTGGAAGCTATCACATACCTTGTTAAAATGGCACTTCAACATAAATATCCCCAGCCTTTGCGTGATAATCAAGTACATATGTCCATTCGTGTCAATGAATTCATGTTCATTCAATTATATCAACTTCTATCAGAATGAAGCATTAAAATATGGTTCATACTTTCTACACAGAAGTTGCAGACGTTACTGTTGGGACCACTGTCCGAGTTGTCATCGGTGCGTCATGGTGACGTGAGGCAACGTCAGCTGGAATGTGTTCTGCAAGTTCTACATGGTGCTGGAGAGACATTGTATCATGGATGGCCCTTGGTACTTGGTATCATCGGAGCAGTGTCCGATCACCATGGGTATACCTCGCATATTATTTAAATAAATCTAACCCGACATTGTTAAATAATGTTCCTCCTTATGATGTTTTACAGGGAGGCTTTAGTTAGAATAGCTTTTCAGTGTTTACAATTGGTAGTAACTGATTTTCTGCCAGTGATGCCTTGGCGGTGTCTTCCACTTTGCGTCGACACGGCTGCTAAATTTGGTTCACAAACTCAAGAATTAAATATTTCACTGACTGCTGTTGGATTGATGGTAAGAACAAATTTCTTATAACAGTATCCAATATCTAAACTACGTAACTGCATGTGTGTTAATCATGGTGTTGCTTGTGCATTCCTTTTCAATCGTACAAGAGATGAGAAGTGAAGTTAAAAGTTTCGAGCCATGGAATTCGATTGGAATATATGAGATCAAGAAAACATGATCAAAAGACACGCACATCCAATTGTAGAAGAATTAGAAGCGCCTAACGTTGTTAAAGTCCGAGCAAAAATATCTTGAACGAATGAAATTACAATCAAGGCAGTTAAATAAAACAAACAGTTCTTATCGTGTATAACATACACAGTTTAAAGTAGATAAACGAATCAACAGACCATGTACATTTAATTTAGTAGTAACTCTAATTGATTAATATCTTTATGTGTCTTTACAGTGGAATATAAGCGATTATTTTTATCAAAATCAAGAGAAACTTTGCGTTTCTTTGAAAGGAGATTCGTCCTCTGTATTTCCGGATTTTCCTGGAACAACAAATATGCCGGCGTTTGATAAGCTTTGGATGTGCCTATATACAAGATTAGGTAATAAGTAATAACTGAATAAAGCAATGTTGCAATTATAATAAAAAATGGAAAGTATAAAGAGTACTGTTCTATTTTTAAGGGGATTTATGCGTGGATCCCAGACCTGCAGTGCGCAAGTCAGCCAGTCAAACTTTATTTTCAACAATATCCGCACATGGTAGTCTGTTGCACCAGCCAACATGGCAGGCTGTTCTCTGGCAAGTTCTTTTTCCATTATTGGATAAAGTTAGAAGTTTATCTAACTCTGCTAGCAGTGAAAAGGTAGACACTAGTGGAAACATACTCATTCATCACAGTCGAAACACAGCACAGAAGCAGTGGGCTGAAACACAGGTAATAATTCAACATATACATATATTAGATACTAATTGTTTGTATTATATTAATGGATTCTTTGTTCTGAGATATTATTGTAAGATAATAGAGTTTAAATCTATTTTTTTAAAAATATTCTATTAGTGAATAGAATCAATTTTATAGGTACTGACGTTGAGTGGCGTTGGGAGAGTATTTAATACAAAACGCCAGCTTTTACAAATGTTGGGCGATTTTCCTAGAGCTTGGTCGCTTTTGCTAGAGTTTATAGAAAATTCTGCACTTAGTAAAAATAACGAGGTACAGTACTAACGTTGGTTTTCTTTGCAAAAAAAATACCGATGCTTAAACTTGAAGTGTATCCACAGGTATCTTTGGCAGCTCTGAAATCGTTTCAAGAGATTTTGTACCTTCAAAAAGGTAGTGATAGCAATGAGGTGATACAATCTAACGATTCAGAAGCATTATGGGTTGTCGCATGGCGTGTGTGGCTTAATATTGGAATGGAAAGTACAACCCCACCGCAAGAAGGTGAAACGGAACCTTACATACCGTCACAAGCGTTTTTAACAGCATTAGTTCACATATTTCCAGCTGTTTTTCAGCACATCAGAAACAAGTATGTTTTGGTACAATATGTTGGCGCTTATCCGCGATGATTTAATAGCCTTTTCCATTCTAATTATCTTTCCTTCTCAGATTCACTGGACCGGATTTGCAAAAGCTTTGCATAGTACTGAAAAATGCCGTGGCAGTTCCGGTGCATGGTGAGTCAACGCCATACATTTTACCTACAATGCCAGATGTCGTCCTTACTCATTTACAGGACGGTGTGCTCCATTCTATGGAGCTTCTACAAAAAGTTTGTAATTTCTGCTTCTCTTCTGAATGATTTTCTTCTACTTGTAACTAATTCGAATATTGTTTTATAGGAAGCGTTAAATGGACCCGACAATCTGCGAACAATGATCGTTCTAATCTTTCTGCAGCTTCTTAGTTTTTCTAAATTGGCTTGCGAAGCACCCACGTATGGTAAAATACCAACAAAACATATTTCTCAAGTTAGAGGTGTTTCAGTAGTACGTGTCTGCGCTTCAAGTATTATATTGTTAACTTGTTAAACGAATATTAATTAAAATTTCTTATTAATTTAGACTGACTGGGTCACTATGAATTATGTTCCTTTTGGAGAGAAAGCCCTGTCAATGGTCGTGACGCTGTATCAAAAGACAGCTCATGAGGTAGCTGTAATAGAAGGACAAGTTTTAAAGCACATTATAGAAGCGTTACACGTGCCTTTGTCGATGAAATATGCTTGTCCGTCACCGACTACTTGGAAATTAGCTGTTACTAGTCTGCTTGCTGTTTTGCACACTGGTTTGCCACTAGCCAGAAAATGTCCAGAACAATTTCAGAGTATGTGGCCAGAACTCGCGAGTACCTTAGATGATTTTTTATTCCCCAAAAGGTAACATTAATAAATTTTAGCACCATAACAGCAATAACAGCAGCATAATTGAGCACAAATGATAACATATTTTTTTACCACAGCGTATTAAGCGTGGAACGGGGCGTAGAAGAGATTCAAGCAGACGAAGCTGTAGATTGTCAAGTGATGGAACTTTTGCGTGATGAAGTTTTGCCACATTCACAATATATACCTCATCAGTTTATCTTACGTGTGGTAATGCTCTTAAATAAAGGCTCTATACATTCAGCAACCACAGCTAACATTGGTATGTAGTCCTAATATTCAAATATCGGTACATCTAAAACAATTTATTCTGTTTCTAATGCTGTTTCCACTTTTTAAATAGAAAATAGTGGTGAAACAAAATTGAGGGAAGAGTTTGCGAAGACATGCTTCGAAACGTTGCTACAATTTTCTCTTTTGGATGGTTTAAATACTGAGTCGGAGCACGATTCGTCAAAAAATACTGAAAATGACGAAGGAGGAGTAGCTGGAAGATTGGCAGTCACTGCTCTTCTTCATAGGTTCCAAGAAGTATTGCGACGATATATAGAAAATGAAAGGCGTAGTGGAAAATGTCCATTGCCCAGGTAATTGTTTCGTTATTTTTTTCCATTATTTTCTCCATATTATTTCTATATATATTTCGTTATTTTTTCTATATTTAATGATATATAGTTGTGTTATCATCTCTGTCAAATGTGATGATTTTTTATTTATTTTTAAGTACTTATTATATGAACCTTTTCTAGGTACAGATTATCAGAAATATCATTTGTTTTGAAAGCAGTAGCGACGCTTGTTGTGTCGTTAAAAAAGGCACCCCCAAATAAAGGTAATTCAAATTTAAAATCAAAACAAAAATATGATTTTGCTAATAAGGTAACTTAATTACCCGTTCATGTTTGGTGTTTCATTCTTAACTTCACATGTAGTGTAGAACTAGACTCTTCAATTGCTAATAATATGTTATTTGATGAAATTTTTGTTTACTGAAGTCACATTATTAAAAGCTAGCTTCGTCAAATCAGATAAGAGTTAAAAAGTAATTTGTGATGCAAAGGATTATATTTTAATTGTTTCCCAAAAAATTTGATATTATTCTAAAAAATTTTAATTTAATTTTTCAGTTGAAAAATCCGTTTGGGAGCAACTGATTGGATTATATCCCTGTCTAGTAGAATGTACAATTGCTACCGCATCGGGCCAAGTTTCAAGATCTTTACGCGAAGCTTTGCTGCAATACCATGATCTGTTGAGGCCACCAATTCAAAATTCCACAACGTCCAATGGCGTTTGACCACTACATTCTTTACTTCTATCTCGAAATAGTGATGTTTGCTACAGCGCCAAGTAGTGAACTTCTCGTAACCATGGTTACATGTATAATAAAATTCGTTACAAAGTTTTTACTTCCACGTACACGTAAGGCAAAGTGTGAAGTACCAAGGTGAAGTACCGCTAGCAATATTTTCCTCTACACATGCTAAAAAATTTTTCTCTTCATACATTTTTCATCGCTGTTTCAACAAGTGAAGAAACTTAATGCCATTTTTTGTTTACAAGATAAAAAATTATTTTGATTTTGTAAATTGCAGTAGTTTTTTGTATAGATACGTGGTTACTATTAGTAGACTAGCGATAAAGTACAAAAGGAAACAACACTTTAGTTATTTATTTTAAATTTCCAGAGTGTATGTTGTTTTATGTAATTATGATCGTAGAAAAAGGCCTTTCCTTCGTCAGAAAGGAAAGTTTCGAGATAACGGAACAATACTACACCACATGTGACATTTAAAGATAATGAAAGCTGCATATAATTTCTTTTGCATTTGACATTATCATCTATAAACAGCAGAAGCTTACATAATATAATGTGGTCTCATATGTGAGTGAAATAGCACACGAGCAAATATAGCATTAGGAAGTCGAAGCAAGTATACAAAAGATTGTATTAAATAGCTAATTCGTAAGTGCAAAGTAACTAATAACTACAATTTATACACATGCCATTCTGCTGTACATAGTCGATGTACAAGTTGGCTTTTTCTAATACACATTGTAAATATCGAACTAATCATGATTAGTATACAGTATAAGACGATTTTATAAATAATATAAAATTATTATTCGCTATTCTTACAATGATATATGATATCGAAAAAAATTTATGATATAATAATGTAAATAGTTACACAAAAATTCAATAAAAGTCTGAAATATTTATTGCTATTTTTGTATAGAATTCGCGTTATCGTATTTTTTTTTTTGGGCTTCGCAATTATTTTTTACATATTTTCGTGATTCGTCAACATGTAAATAACAATAGTTCTGTTATATACTAACATTTAAATATAAATATTATTTCTAACCGATTTTGTAACGCATTTACATTATGTTAGTTACAGTGATGAGTAAAAGGGAGCATACACCTTTCAAAACCAATTAGCTTTTTTTAAAATTGCATTAAAATTGCAAGCGACTTGAATTCTTTTGAGAAAAAGGGAGCAGTTTATTGAATCGAATTTTAAAAAAAGTTACTCCATTTTAAAAGGTGTTAACTCAGTTTTGTTCTTTACTGCATATCGTCGCATAGTTGTGATTAATGTAGCTGTAGCATTTAGTAACAATACATAAAATTTATTTTGATTTACATAAAATATTGTAAATAGCATAGTTTTACGAGTGATATGTATGTACTTGGTTCGATTTCTTTTAATGGGCAAGCGCCGTTGTAAGAATTGAAAGGAAGCCTCTTCAAAAGATAGATGTCGCCTTGGTAACCGGAAAGCTTCTAGAAGTAAATCAAGTTTCAGCAAAACTGTGTCGTAGAATAATAATTCTATTTGTTTAACGTAAAGTTTCCTGTCGGGTGATAAATAAATACAGTAAATTTTCTTGCCGTGCCAACATCGTGAAATACATTAGATAGAAAGAAGTGTCGCCTTTGATTCATGATGTATTTTCGAGCGACGCCGCAGCCATGATTGTTTAGTTTCGGGGGGATGAAAAGTGAACGCGAGCGAGGGATTTGAATGAAACGCGTACGAACATAACGTGCCGACTTATTTCTGTGTTTAACGAGCGTGCCGGTTACTTCAGAGATATGGTAAGCGATAGCATTAGTCCGAGCATCGGTTAAGTGTCTATCCCCGGCGAATAGTTTTCGCGCGAATTTTCAGGTGTTACGATTGTTGTTGGGTGCCGCCGCTACCGCGGCGCAACATTGCACTTTCAAACTTTCGATCGATTTGTACCCGATGTTGAGACTATAAAGTAAAATAGCTATCGAACATGGACGACCTTTTCCCGCGACTTTCTTTTAATTTCTTGACGATCAGTTGGTCTCTCGTACGAATCGCCTGTCGTTTTTCTGAAAACGTTCGAAAACGTAACCGGGTATTACACCGCATATAAATCGATATATACTTATAAGTGTATGCTGTATGTGTGCGTGCATATGCGCGTATGTCTGTGTTTCGCTTGGTGTGACGCTCGAACGTTAGTATGTATACATGCATCTATACAGGCACTACAAGGAACCGTGGCTCAGGAACGCCCCTTTTTACGATACGATCGAATTTCTTTCCCGCGCAATTTCTGAGATATAATGAAATATTAATTATTCGGAATTTCGAATTATATGTGATCGTTTCGATCGATACGTAGCTGGATTTTATACAATTGTACGATTATTCTTACTTGAACGATGATTTCTGTCATCGTAACGAGACTTTTAATTTATGTTAATTGCGATGCTTTTCAGAAAATGTATGACATATCTAATGGATATGAATAATTAATGATTAGGGAAAATAGAAGATTTTTAAATGCGTCTATCATATATATGTACATATATACGACTGCTTTATATTAACAAAAACATTATTCCACTTTTATAATACAATTTTGATTTTGGAGTTGATGGGTGTGTTAGTTAAATATATGTTTAATGTAGCTTTTTTTAATCAAATGGAAACATTTGAAATAATAGATTGGTGAATATTACATAGGAAGCATTTCATCTAAGCTTATAAATGTTTCCTACGTTTAATGTTTGCTAAAGATAGCATATTACTAAATCAGTTATCACACTTAGTAGTAGGGGAATATTTTTAGTCAAAGCCTGATGTGCTCTTATGTAAAATATGTATCAGAAAGAGGTGAATGAATATATGAATCATGTTACTATATTAATAAAGGTTCAAACAAAACAAGACATCTTCAATATCTCATATTCTTTACTGTGCTCTATTTTCACTTGAACAAAAACAGATCAAACACATAAAACACTTGTTATTATGTTCTTTGTTATGTCTTACAGTATAACAATTTGTTTTAGGAAATTTAGACATTTCTTTGAAATGTGGTTACGAAGTGAACATGTTAGAAGAAGACTGCGTGGTCGCTTAAACATAAGCAGTATATCCAGATCAAAAATTTCAAATCATCGAATACAGTTTAGCAGTCTAAGGAAACTTCCATCAATTGGTAATAATAGTCATCGTATTAATAAACCAAACAAATGCAGCAGATTAACACGCTGGAGACGTAGATGCACACATTTCCTGAAAGAAGTAAGCATCAACAAGTTACTTAAACTAGAGATTTGAATTATCTTCCGTGTACATGATACATTCATCTTTCGTATGATCATGTTACTGTTATTCGCTTATTATAAATGATCTTTGCAGGTCATTTATTAAAACAAAACTTGACTGTTTCTTAAAAAAGAAATACTTTCTAACTAATCAGCAATTAATGGTTAAAAAGAGTGACTGACTAACTCACGAGGATGTTATGTAATTAGATTTGTTAGACCTACAATCGAAGCCATTTGGTTACTATAAGGAAGCCAATTCAGTTTTGTTAAAAAGATTGTTATCTTCGTAGGCTTGTAAAGAAAATGTTTTACATTTTGCGAAGTCTACACCTATTAGACGAGAGAGAGGACCTCGTAGAAGAAAATGCATAAAGCGGTCAATGGTTACTTCAACTCCGTTACATCGATCATCTCAAAAAGATGCAGTTGCTGTAAGTTACTAGAAGTCATAATCGATCTAACTAGATTAGGTTGCATTTTTTCACACAATTAAACATGTATAATTTGCAATTCTTCCAGCCATCAAAATGCACAACAGTATCAAAAGTTTCTGAAGAATCTAAAGAAAACTGGAATACAACTATTCTATCCTTGTATTCATCGATTTTGAACACAGATACATGCTGTTCCTCAATATCCACTATACATGATTTCAAGCCTTCCATTCCAAGTGTATCATCACTGACAAATCTAATGCCTCCAGCATCTATAGGATCACACACAGACCTTTCATATGCATTAGATGATGAAGAAAATAAGAATAATGGTACACAAATTCATTGTGACACTATGAAACAATCTATTTGAAATATCTATTAATTACTATTTCATTTTGTTACAGATTCCAATTCAGTTTATTACACTGCTCCTTGTTTACAAACAGACACACCCGATGAATACTATAATTTAATACATTCTACATCTATGTATGGAACTCGTACTTTCCCGACAGACAAGTATTTTCCAAATGGAAAATACGCACTTAGCAACAATAATGAGAATAGCAGTAATTTATCGAAAAATCAATATTCACTCGACAGTCACTCACCGAAATATGAGTCAGGGTTTAATACTACGAAGTATAATGCATCAACCATGTACAGTATAAATCATCATCATTCATCTGACACAAATGGGAACGTTACGGAGAAATATGATTCCGATGATATCGATAGCGATTACCATGATGGTGAATATATGGAGGTCGGAAGCGAGGAAATAGTAGAAAGTTGCGATGTAGAGAATATGGTTACTCATGTTCAAGAAGACTGGGAGCCATTCGACCCTTATGTCTTCATCAAGCATTTACCACCCTTAACCCCGGCAATGAGAGCTAGATGTCCTGCTCTTCCACTTAAAACACGCAGCAGTCCAGAATTTAGTCTAGTATTAGATTTGGTACGTTCGCTTTCGAGCCGAATACTAATTTACAAAAATTTAGAATGGCCTTTTGAACTAAAAAAATTAAGAATTTTTGAGTAGAGACACATTTTTCTTATATAGGATGAAACGTTGGTTCACTGCAGTCTACAAGAACTCTCGGATGCAGCGTTTCGTTTTCCAGTTGTCTTTCAAGATGTAACATACACGGTGTTTGTCAGAACACGACCATACTTTCGTGAATTTTTAGAGCATGTTTCATCATTGTACGAAGTCATTCTTTTTACCGCGAGTAAGCGTGTTTACGCGAACAAGTTAATGAATCTGTTAGATCCGACAAGGAAATTGATAAAGTATCGTCTGTTCAGAGAGCACTGTGTTTGTGTTAATGGAAATTATATCAAAGATCTGTCTATATTGGGTAGAGATTTATCCAAAACTGTTATTATTGATAATAGTCCTCAAGCATTTGGATATCAGGTAAATATGAACTGATAAAAAATATTTTGAATTTTTGCTTATTCTTAATAAATATTTCTATTACAGTTGGAAAATGGTATCCCTATAGAGAGCTGGTTCGCTGACCGTTCGGATAATGAGCTAATGAAGTTGTTACCTTTTTTAGAGAACTTAGTAAGCTGGGTGCGTATATATATTTAATAATTAATTTGTTTCTGTACAGATACCATTATTAATATATAAAATATTAATTTTGTAGGGAGGAGATGTTAGACCACGTATTAGAGAACAGTTCCGGCTTTTTAGTTTTTTACCACCAGATTAATTTAGGTACTAAGCACAAAATTAATGTGGAAGTATCAGCCTACATAGGTATCTATATGTATGTACATCTTACAAATGCGTGCAATAATACACGTCAAAAAATTATATAATTTGCAATAATAATCATATTTATAAGTACGTCCAATGAAAAAGATGTTTAACAGAAAAAATAATTGCTTTTGCAAGGATATTGATATTGAATTCCAATTCGAATAAGAATTCACAAAATGTTAATTCACTCATGATGAATTTGCTTGTATTATATTGTCCGAATATGGATGATACTTCTGAAAGAAGTATTTCTTCCTATAATTTCATCTAAATTGA